ACTGATCTTCAAACCCTTCGAAACCCTAATCTTCGATTTGAACCTGATCTTCACGAACCCGATGGAAGACTTCAATGATCACGAACCTAAGGCTCTGATACCAGTTGTTGGGGTATCTATGAATACTGAATAGCAAACCACAACCAAACAAGAACACACACAAACCAGAAATCAAAACGGAGAAAAACGGAACACAAGATTTATAGTGGTTCGGTCGGCTGACCTAATCCACTTTGCAACTAGGGTTTTTATTATTCAAGTGCTCACAGAATTACAAGTACAGAGATCCTTATTTATGAAGACTAAACTAGGGTTGAAAACTTAATCCCCAAGTTAGGCCCAAGCCCACATAGAGAATTAGGGCCGGCTAAATTAAAAACCTAATTTACTGCCATATGGGTCGAACCAAGACTAGGGCCGGCTGCCCTTCTTTGTCGAGCCTCCACACTCAATTCGCCCAACATAGTTTTCTGTTCCTCTCCTTTGTCTTTATTTTCCGTGTTCCTTTTGTTTTAAGTTGACGGTCTCTTGGAAACAGCCTCCCTACATCCCACGTAGGGGTACTGACACTCACCCTCCTTGGAATCCACTTTGTGAGATTTTTCTGGTTTTGTTGCTGACTTGATATAATTTTAGATCTACCGAATGGTACTTGTGGATATTATTGAGCTTTAAAAGTCTATTTGGAAATTGGAAAATACTATGGAAAGAAGAGAGAAATATGGAAGGAACTAAAAAATTTGGGGGAAAATATTCTCTAACTAGTAACTACATAAATTTAATCTAGATACTTGTTCAAACTCCTTTTATTTATTTATTTATTTATTTCTATTATATAAGTACTATGAAATCTAAATATATACTCTGTCCAGATTTTGTTGTCCCTTTTCTAAAAAAAATCATTTTTAACAAATGAGTTTAAAATGTCAAATGAGTCCTTTAACTGAATCTGTCTTTCATTCATGTCGATAATGCTCACACCCTATATTTTAGACAATTTATCTTAATTTCATTATTGCATATGGAATGTGGACAACTAATTCCGGACAAACGAAAACAAGAAAGTGGATAGTTTATTTTGGACGGAGGTATTAATTAAGATTTTAAAAAAGATAAAACAAAGTACAAATCTTATTTTCCATTGTGTTTCCCTCGGTAAAATCAAACATTATAAAGGTCTTGTTTGGGAAGGGTGTTTTCAACGCAGAATGCTGTTCATCCAAAATTCACGTGTTTGTTTACTGTCAAATGAGAAGCTTTGAAAAGCTTCTATATCCCTTCCAAAATTTTCTCAACTCTAAAAGCACAACGCTGGACCCCCTAGCGTTCAATGAGCAAAATTGTGTTAGGATCTTGGATTACCAATCTTACCCCTGAAAAATCTAGACGAAATCAATCAAGCTCGTAACTCCATTTGTTTGTACATAAAGAACCAGTCATTTGCCGAGCACCAAAGAAAACACAAAGGTTTGATTCATCAAGAAACTACATTCATCAATCGAGCTGGTAAAGGTCAGATTCGTCAATTAATTCATCAAGAAACCAAACCGTCTGTTTCATTAATCAAGCTCGTAACTCCATTCGTTTGTCTATCATTTGGGATATCATTGTTTTCCGGTAAGATTTCTTCTTTGAGGTCTGATTCATCAAGAACAGTCATCTGCTTGATTCTCACTTCAGTAATCTCACTGTACCATCCAACATATAAGAAATTTCTCCTTGAACTGATATTTAACATTAAAAAAATGCAATGAAAAGATTCACAATTTGCCTCTGTAAGTAGGCGCCTTGCCAATGTGAACTCAGCATATCAGTCGGATTTTTAATAATTTTGAAGTGTTATTAGCTTTTTAAAATGTTCAATTACCGAACTTAAAAATTCTAAACAATAATAACCCTAACTCTTTTGATAACAGCTAACACTAAACTCCTAACAATGTTGCCAAACAGGCCCAAACTAACTTAGAAGTTTTTCTTCTTTCCCTAGTATTTTCTGTGATCCAAACACACTCGAATATCCATCAGATATACAATCATATGGATGTTTCTCCCACATACTGTATGATGCAGCCATGCAGGAACCTTGAAGACTAGACTTATCTTTTTTCTAGAATGCTGAGCTTGTCATAGTTGTCAACTTGTCAAGTGCTCACCCAATAACTGTTTGAACTTCGAGTCTTTTTTCTAGAATGCTGAGCTTGTCATAGTTGTCAACTTGTCAAGTGCTCACCCAATAACTGTTTGAACTTTGAACATGAGCTAAAGCATGATGAATGATTCCACAAGTAGAGTAAGGTTGTGTGCATGTTTGATGCTTTAATTTAGTCTACAAAGCCTTCATAATTTAGGAGCAGTGAAATGAACCACCTTTCAACCTTTTTTAAGGACAGTAGTTTTTTCCAGAACATGGATTTTTGTTATAATACTTTCTTCATCTTGAATGAAGGTTCCACGTTTAATCAGACACGGTTAATAAGAAAGTAGAAATTGGATGGTTAGGAGTTATGCAGAGGAGAGAAATGATGTAAACATACACTCATTTCTTTAAAAGGAAAGCGAAACTATATTTTGGGATAAACAAAAAGGTAATGTGGAATCGCTTTTCGGGACGGGGAGTAGTAATTCAATATTTTGAAGCAGCAACTATTCTTAACTCTTATGCCCTGAAATTTTTGTACCTAAGAGGAGGCTATTTGTACAGATGGCACTGGCATAGATAGCCAAATAATTGAACGAGAAGCAGTCTTGGAATCTGAAGGGAAGCAATCGGCACTTTGCTCCACAATAGGTTCCCAAAGTATCCACAGTGGTGGCATTAGAATTTCTCCAGCTCCCGGTGAAATACAAAGCAAAAATGGGAAAGAAAACAATAAAGACACTCATTCTCCTCCCTATTGTGACAATAGGAGTGCACTTTCTTCTATCGTATGGCTAACTCATTTGATCCTTTTCATTATGCATTTTAAAATTTAGACATCACATTTTGAAATGCTTTGCACTGATGGAATCATGGAATGGCATCTTGTAGTGCCCTACCGGTCGGATCTCATTCAAGCTTTATGACTGGAACCCTGCTGAGTTCCCACGACGTCTACGTCACCAAGTACTTAAATGATTATTATCACTGTTTAGTAGTAGAGGTGAAGTTTTGTTTTTATTTGGAAAGAGAATTTTAGTTATGATATGATGATAGTGAAAATTGCAACAGATTTTCCAATGGTTGGCCAACATGCCTGTTGAATTGGAGGGATATATTCGTCCCGGTTGTACAATTTTGACAGTATTTATTGCGATGCCGCATTTCAAGTGGAAAAAGGTAACTTAAATTCAGCTATCTTGATGTTCATCACATAGATTTGCTTCCACACTCACACACTTAACCTTAATCCTACCTTCCTACCGATGAAAGTAGGGACACTGAATTCAAAAGACGCTCGGCGTGAAATGTGTTTGTTTGGGTAATAATTTTGATTCAGAGAAATAAAAACATTTCATTAGAATTTTAATTGAGTGAAATATACCTTTAATTTGTCTATGTTATAATGTCAATAGCTTTTGTATTTTGACATCAAGTAATAAAAGTTCAAGATGATTCAAATTCAACTCTACAGCTCAATGAATTTTATTCGAATTTGAACCTCACGCATATAAATTGGGTATATTAGTCTGCATATTTATGTATGTCAAAAAACAATGCCGTATGATAAGTACTTATTTTTTACTTTGTGTTGCATACACATATAATATATTTATAATGTATTTTTTTCCAGTTGTTAGAAGAACCAATAATACAGTTGCAAGACCTTGTGCTCTCACCGGGAAATATGCTCCTTGGAAGAGGCACCTTTCTTGTTTATCTGAATAACATGGTGTTGCGCATTGCAAAGGGTAAGATGTATGGGGTTGGACAATGGATGAGGCTGTTGGAGCATATAATATGCATATAGACACTGAAAATATGCCATGTTATAATAAATCTCCATTTTTTTAACAATCTATTTAATTTTCTTAACAGGAGGAACATCAATAATGAAAGTGAAGTTAAAAGGGAAAACTCCAATGCTCTGCTATGTGCATCCCACTTGTTTTGAAGCTGGCAAACCTATGGAGTTCTATGTATGTGGAAGCAATCTACTTCAATCTAAAATTCGGTATGATTATTAATGTTGTACACTGATAAAACAGCTTTGTGCATGGTTTATCAGTGTATTTTTTGCAAATTGATAATATACAATCATCAAAAGCAGATATTGATAAGAACAGCTTCATATAAGCTTATTGTCCTAGTTTGCATCCCTTTTTTGGTCAAACTTTGGTGGTCACTTGTAATTCTACATTTTTTTTATCAAAGACTGATTTAGCTTCTACTTTTTGTTTGTTTTTCAAACAATTATCTCTTATGTGGCTGTCATTATTTTTTGCTTCATTGCATATACATTTAGGAAGAACAATTAAACTCTTGAGTCTTGATTTTGGAATGGAAAATTTGAAAGCAAATTTGAAACCGTTCCAAGAAAAACTAAGATGTGTTCTAGACACCTTTTCATGCTTGTTGCATCTGAATGTCTTAAGAAAATCACTAAAGCTATCTTATCTTACATATGACAGCTTTCTTGTATCATTTTCTGGGAAGTATTTGGCAAATGATTTTTGCATTTCATCGTGTTGTAAGATTGAACGGGATTCTTGTAGTTTAGACCATCAGTTGTTGAAGGTCAATGTTCCTCAAGTCAATGCAGATCTATTTGGCCCAGCATTTATTGAGGTAAATAAAGAACACATTATATTGTTAATATCTATTCATTTTCTGCATCATCTCCGATGGAGTCAAAATTTCACCATTTTTGGCTTTGGGGTGTGATGGAATAAATCAAAATGGATCTCTAAACTATCTGCGCTTCTTTAATTAATGAAGTAGCAGTTAGTCAAACACTACAACTTTCGATGTTGAGCCGGGGGTCTCTTTGGAAACAGCCTCTCTACTTTCGAGTAGGGGCAAGGTCTGCGTACACACACCCTCCCCAGACCCTGCTCTTGTGGGATTTAACTGGGTTGTTGTTGTTGTTGTTGTATTCATTTTCTGCATCACCCATTAACTGCCATTTTCCATCAATTTTTCCAGCCAGGATTCTGGTTGTTTGGAGAACTACAATGAAATCCCTTCAATTTAGAGCAAATATGTAGAAATATATTTTTGTAATCATATATGGTGTACAATTTAAAGTATGGATATGAGGCATTGTCTTTGTTCTTAGCTTGTAAGCAAGGAAGCCAGCTGCATTATATTGTCTGTTTTTTGTTTTGTTTTTGCCTTATCATCTATTAATACTTAGAAGTTAATAGTAACTCTTTTGTAGGTTGAAAATGAGTCTGGCTTGTCAAACTTTGTTCCTGTTCTCATTGCAAGCAAAGACATATGTTCAGAAATGGGGAGGTTGCTAGCACAGTTTAATACTTCTCTTCAACCCAAGGTTGCAAAATTTGCTTCAGGCTGCCCTTCATGTGAGCATTCTGATTTAAGAGATTCAAATATATCAGATTTTATGCTTGATGTGGCATGGTTAATACGGGAGCCTACGGTAGAAGAAACTACTCAACTGTTGACTTCTAATCGGATGCAAAGATTCAGAAGGCTATTAAACCTTTTGATAGAAAACGAGTCAACTTCAATACTACAAAGAGCTCTGACACACATCAAAGTAGTGATGGACAGCAGTGCAGTAGTTGCTAATGTTACTGATCCTGAAATAAACACTTTTCGTGCTACTTTAGATGGCACCGAAGCAATCCTTTCTCAAAGACTTAAGGGTGGAGATATTCTTATGGGGAATTCTACAAAGGCGGGGACATCCTTAGCTTATCTATACGAAGACAAAATGCAACATGTAATTCCAGTTATGGAAAAGGCAAGTCTATCATGTCCCACGGCATAGTTACATCGGAACTTTTCAAGTGACACCTGTGTTACAGTGAGATGGGTCCCATTTGAGAGCCCTACGGTGTTTGTTGGGCTGGGGAACAGGTCCTACTCCTACACTCCTCATACCCCACGGGTGCACCCTCTCCCAAAAGGGCACCCCTAAACCTATCCCTTGGTCTTGGGCCCAACAAAGCAGCACTGTATGGTCCTCAAATGGTGCGGTGTCACCCTATTTGAACTGCGCTGTTCTTGCATACATTGTGTCATTAGTATGATTTCTATATTGCGCCCGAGATTATGTTCCCTGCTTCAGATAATGTGGATCTTTACAATGCAGGGTGTGGAAAACAACGCTTGCAATACAGAATCAAGATTGACATTTCCAGACTATAATAATAGCTCTACCGATCCATTGTTAAACATCACTGCGAGTGTGAAACTCAACAAAGAGCGGCAGTCTTGTAGCCTTTTATTTGAAAAGAAGCTTCTTGCTACTCGTCGTCCCCTTGTGTTTGCAGTCTCTGCTATTGCTGTTTGTTTTGGAGTATGTGCGATTATTCTTCACCCCGGTCCAGTGGGTGAATTCACTGCATCTATCAGGAGGTGCCTGTTTGACAGTCCATAGTTTTGATTTGATTTATACACCGCCAGGTCTGTGCTTCTTGATGCCCCTGCCAGGTCTGTGCTTCTTGATTACCTAATGTACCATATAAACCATTCGCTGAAAAATTTGATTCTTTTCTTAAAAGTTTGTGTACATATTTGCTTAAGTTTTGTTGGGTTTTAAAGTCTTACAACAAGTTTTTTGCTGTAAACCTTGAGACTGTGGGTCTTTCTCCGTCTGTTTTACGGTTCGTGTGCACTCGACTAATCTCTGTTCGCTCCAGGAGGCATGAGAGCTGGCCAAGGGGAAACAAGTTTAATAATACTATATAGTATAATCATATTTGTATTAAAATTAAATGTTTAGATATAGTTTCTAGTGTGTAAAAAAGACGGATAAAAGACATTAGTGTATTGTAATTTTTTTAGTCATCAACAATGTTATACTTCCTCCGTGATTGCACAACGGAATTGGTATGGTTATCAAAAAGTTGAAATTGATGCAGTGGAAATAGAAATAATGTATACAATTTAGATTCCTAAAATAGAAAATGTAACTTTATTTTGAGTAGAAATCACCCTAAATAGGACTAAAACATAGGAAAAAAAATACCAAAATACGTGTTTTTTGTTTTTATTCTCGAAATAAGACTTTGCACTGTAGTAATATGGAAGTAATGATGTGGCACTGTACATGTTTACATTACTATACTTTTTGGTAATGTATACGACCATGTTTGGTAATGTAAATGCATTTTACATTACCTTGTTGTGAATATCACTAATACCATCACCTCATAGACTGTTAAACACTTAAACGTGTTTCATCTACTGGTAGATGTTGACTAGTTAACTTTGTTTTGTTTGACAAAACATGAAACTTAAACATAAAATTTTAAACTTAAAACTTAAAATTTATAATATATAATTAAAATTTAGAATTTAAAATTGAAAATGTGGAATGTTAAATCTAAAATTTTAAATTTTAAATACATAAATTAAGTTTTTTAATTTAAATTTTAAGTTTTTATTTTGAATATATAGTTTTTTGTTTTTTATTATAACTTTATTTATTTATAACTTTTTAGTTTTAATTGAGTATAATATCACGGGCGGGGGCGGTAGGGGAAGGGGATTGAGGGAAAGGCGTATGACGTGGATAGAGGTGGGGGGCTATGGGGGACGAGGTAGAGAGAATGAAATTTTTTCTTGGAATTCTAACATAAATTGTTTTCTCGCTATTGAGAGAAGAAAATCCCCAATAAAATATTTTTCTTTCACTAATGTCAGCACACGAGGAAAAATATAATCAAAATTTTTCTGAAAAATATATTTTCCTCAATCAAACACATCCAAAATGACATCCTTTCTTACCCCCACTCTCGCACATATCATATCTAGAGTAATGCTAGAGGGTAAATTTCATCAATGGTACCTGAACTTTAGCTAGAACTTCGAAGTAGTACCAAACTTCAAATTCTTTCACAAAAATCCCTCAACTTACACAATCCTTTCACTAATAGTCCATTAGCCCGTTTCTAGGTCAACTTCCGGTCATTTGGGCCAAATTAGAATTTTATATATTTTAAAATTTTTAATTTGACCCCATTTTTTTGTTTTTTTTCTTACGCTCCCCGCCGCCGTCACACCACCTCAAACTCGCCGGAAAATCAACATGGTCTGATTCCGGCGGGACCAACGTCATTCTCTTCGTCTTGAGACGAGGATCAAGAAATCTCAAACCATTTTGTTTAATTTGGCTTGTAACTCCTCGAATTTGAATTTTTCCACTCGAAAAAACTCTAAAATCCGAAATTGGGATTTTTTCCAAATCGCCATCAAATCTTGCAATTGAGAGATCCTTAGAGGTCGCCATGATGTCACGAACACATTGGAAGGGATGAGCGGCGTCAATTTTGCCGGAGGTGGCCGGAAAACGCCCCGACCCGCCGGAAAACGCCGCCTCCTTCCAGCGGGTCGGGGCGTTTTCCGGCCACCTCCGGCCAAATTGACGCTGCTCATCCCCTCCAATGTGTTCTTGGCATCTCGGCGACCCCCAAGGACTCCTCAATTGCAAGATTTGATGATGATTTGCAAAACCCCCAATTTCGGACCCAATTTCGGATTTTAGGGTTTTTTCGAGTGAAAAAATTTAAATTTGAGGAGTTACAGGCCAAATTGGACAAAATGGTTTGGATATTCTTGATCCTCGTCTCAAGACGAAGAGAATGGCGTTGGTCCAGCCAAAATCGGACCAGGTTGATTTTCTGGCGAGTTTGAGGTGGTGTGACAGCGGCGGGGAGCGGAAGAAAAGAATAAAAGAAATGGGGTCAAATTGAAAATTTTAAAATATATAAAATTCTAATTTGGCCCAAATGACCGGAAGTTGACCTAGAAACGGGCTAATGGACTATTAGTGAAAGGATTATGTAAGTTGCGGGATTTTTGTGAAAGGATTTGAAGTTTAGATACCACTTCGAAATTTCATCTAAAGTTCAGGTACCATTGGTGAAATTTACCCTAATGCTAGAAGTGCACCAAATGATGTATCACATTTGTACACCATAAATTCTTAAGAAAATTTATGTTAGAAACACTACCAAGTATGAGGAATCGTATATAAACACTGCGAACTATGGAATAAGTCAATGCATACTTGGTGAAAATTCAATCCAATTTTAAAATGTAACTTTCGCCATAAATTACAACAATAACAGTATCTTAATGCCTAATAACATTATCTCAGTGCCTCAAAGGCTCGCCCATCACTGTACATTGTTCCCATAAAATTTACTGCACAGTAACTCACATACTTGTATATAATAACTTTTGTGTCTTTTTACAAGTTCATCTAGTTGCAAATATTAGTTTTATCAAAGAGAACCATTCTTCACAACTAGCTTTTATCAAACGGTTTCAATCTTTTTCATTTACCATCATACCTTAACACGAACATTGACAAACTGAACAACTCTGGACACTTTAATACTCGAACAAACAAAAATGATATTTACTCCAATAGTCTTATTATATCAAGGAAGGGATCTTCAACTATCATTCACAGCACCAATCAATACCAGAAAACGTATGTTGCATAAATACTTCAAACAAGAAACCACAAACTTTATTCCTGTGAAGAGAAGATGATATACAAACCTCACAGCTTCTTCTGACATTGACTTCTGTAGTGTTTTTTCTTAATATAATTTAATCGGTAACAATTACTGGACACAAACTTCGGTACTATCATTTTCTTCAATTGAATTATTGGTATGTAGGAGTTCCGCAAGTGACAATTTTTTTTATAATTTTATCTCTTCCAGATGTAAGCTAAGAGTGAGGGAAACGTACACAAATACGCTGCTGGATTGGGCTCCTGCAAGAAGGACAGTCTCTCATCCCCTGGTTCTTGTGGAGCTCGTTGCACGTTGTACAGACTACCTGATGGGCACATGGAAGAAAAACAACAGACATCTCTTCAGACAAACACATGACACACTCGCGCTCCCTTTTCACCCCACCAAGGTTGCAATAATCACGGAAATCGGCTATCAGTCTTGAAATGTGATGTAAATGGTTCTCCTCTGGCTGCGGTTGAGTTTTGGGGTCGGTCAGTTTACTTGCGTAACTCCCATCTACGGCGCCTCTTCTGAGAGCAGCTATTTTCAATGAGTCGGTTTTCAGCCTCAACTTGGATATTTCCTTTTCCAGCTTCTCAATGTCATCGTTATACTTCTGCAAGTTGCCTTCTGCTTTCAAATTGATCACATCTTCCTTGGATTTAAATGAAGCTTCAATTTGTTGTCTCTCTTTCTTTAGTGATCTTGCATGCGAAAGAAATTCTTCCTTTGCAATCTGTTCTTGTTTCCACCTAGCCTGCGAGGTTCAAACTTTTGAATGAGAAATTCTAACCAGGAAACACTTCGGTAACTACATTTTTAAACCAAAATTGCTATGAAAAATCTTTCAAAATGATTTGTAATAGTAGCAGGACTAGGCAAGATGACCATGCCAACAGATTACAAATTTACAAGGTTAGTCTTCCCTGTGAATCTAATACCCAAAAGCTATCAACTCCCACCTTCATACAAATGGTGAAATGACAAAGGAAATTGCCTAATTATACAACACATATACTGAGATGACTTGAATATATTTCTCACGCAAAACCAACCCTTAACACCATGCCAAACCACCATAAAAGGTAAAACAAAATAATGAATTTTGTAAAATGCATTAGGAAAGATAGGTCGTTGCCAATGCTATGCCATTTGCCTGATACAGAAACAGAGCTGTGAATGATGCTCTTCTCCTCTACGATTCAAATATCCAAAAAGCTTTCGGAGCATTACACTAAGTTATGATTTGGGAGTAGAGATCAAACACCAAAGAGATCTTGGTCCCAATATTTGGGGGCATACCATGTTAAAAGAAGAAAACCTTGATTGTCTAAATGAAAACCAAATCACACCAATAATGCTCATTATCCCACGAAGTAGCGTCTGGGAGGTAAGATGTACACACACCTTACTTCTTTTCCAAAGAGTAGGAAACTGTTAAGAGAGGACCCCAACAATCAGTAAAGACGTTGTGTGAGTAGTGTTAAGACACAAAAGCAAACAAGGAAAAGGAAGGTAAGCACTCACACAAGGGAGAAAACATACAAACCCCACACAACAGAGAGCAAAGAGAACCCAACCCCCAACAACACTTGCTCACAACCCCTACAAGGACTCTACAATGTTGTCTCTGGGAACTCCAATTAGATGCAATGTTGTTAGAGAGGTTTAAAGCCATCAAGTCTAGTCTCAACTGCTAATCACATCCATCATGGGCTGTCTCTCATCTTCGTCCCCTCAACGGGAACACTTGTCATCCTCTTCGTGCCATTGTGTTTGTGAGATGAACCAAACTAAATCAACATGGTCTGCTACCTCTTAGTTCATCAGTAATAGGCGTGAGTCCTAGCTCTTTCCATTATACTACATTCGGTATTCTATCCAACATTGTACAAATAGAATCCTAGTGTAACATCCTCGTCTCTTCAACATCGAACTTCTACTCATCTGCCTTCTTCTGGTCGAATCGCTACACTGTAGAATGTACCCTTCAATTTTGACTGAACCTTCTTGTCACATAGCATCTTGACACAACATTCCACTTTAAGCACCCTACCTTTATATGGTGTGTGGCATCGCCATTGATTTCCCCCTCTTTTTGAGAGATTGAGCCAAAATACGTGAAGTTGTACCTTTGCAATGCTCTTTGCTCCCAAAACTACACCTCTTTTTAAGTGTGCTTCCCGGCATCCCACTAAATTTGCACTAAAGATATTTGATATTCTTTCTTAGAGAGGCTAATGTGCATGTAATGTGCTTATGACGCCGCTCTCCACTGGTCAAGCTTCTTGTTCACCTC